AAGTTAGATTAATATTTACTCTTTTAAGGCATTGGGCACTATTCACGTGTACGGCACTATTCACTTATATGGTACTATTCACGGATACGGTACTATTCACGGATACGGTACTATTCACTTATACGGTACTATTCACGAATACGGTACTATTCACGAATACGGGAAAGACGTAATCTTTCGCCATGGGATCTACAGTTGAAGACAACAGGCTTCGAATTGAGAAGTTCGGCGGCCAAAATTTCAGGTATTGGAGGATGCAAATAGAAGACTATTTGTACCAGAAGGATCTCTTCCTACCCCTCCAAGGAGAGGCGGGGAAACCTGAGAAGATGGACGACGATAAGTGGAAGGTGCTCGATCGTAAAGCACTTGCCACCATCAGGCTCAACCTTCACCAGCATGTGACTTACAACGTCTCGCATGCGACCACCACCAAGGAGTTGATGGAGGCCTTGGAGGCGCTGTATGAGAAGCCGTCTGCTTCAAATAAGGTGTACCTGATGAAGAAGCTATTCAATCTCAAGATGCAGCAAGGAGCTCGCGTGGCGGACTTCTTGAACGAATTTCAGGCTGTGGTGCAACAGCTTGCTGCAGTAGATCTAAAGTTCGACAACGAGATCCAAGCTCTTCTGCTACTTTCTTGTCTACCAGATTCATGGGAGAATATGGTAATGGCGGTGAGCAACGCTAATGGCAATGACAAGATGAAGCTCGACACAGTGGTTGGGGCAATTCTGGATGAAGAATCTCGCCGCAAAGTCTCAGGAGCTGAGGCCTCTAGCAGTGGGAGTGCTCTGCATGTCGAGGCACGAGGGCGTGCACAGAAGAAGGGTAGGGGACGACGAGGCCAATCAAAATCCAGAGGGAAGTCTAAAGAGCCTAACCCGAATGGTTACGTAGGCGCTACAGTTTTCTCGATCCCTTCGCGGATAGACGAAGAAGCTCTGCCCAATTTTTCAGCAATCAGATCTGATCGACGGTGGTCCACGGATAAACCCCGGCACAGGCAAAGACACCCACGCAAGCAGAAGACCGATGAACGATCTCTGCGTTTGTTTGATAAAGTTGTAAACTTTTTTTATTTTCATTGTGTAAGGAGATCTTATAAAAAGATCGACTTTTTATTTTATTCGAGTTTATTGTAACGACTAAAGTTGTAATAGATTCGATAGCAATGAAAACAGCAACTTTCACAGCAAACAAACTGGCGACCACAGTGGGAGCCAACAGCTTCGCTGCCGGAGCTGTCGTGCCGCAGCCGATGATCAAGATCCCGGTGCTCGAAGAGGTCGAATACAAGTTCGACCAACAGAACTTCGAGGAGTATGTCTCCTCCTCCTCCTCCAGATCTGCCTCTACTTGCAAGTGCAGGAAGGCCTCCTCCTCCAGGAAGATCCGCTGGTCTTCAGATCTGAAGACCCAAGAAGATGATCAAGATCCCGGTGCTCGAAGAGGTCGAATACGAGTTCGACCAGCAGAAGTTCGAGGAGTATGTCTTCTCCTCCTCCTCTAGATCTGCCTCTCCTTGCAAGTGCAGGAAGGCCTCCTCCTCCAGGAAGATCCGCTGGTCTTCAGATCTGAAGACCCAAGAAGACGATCTCTCCGCCGTCGCTGCTGTAGTTACACCTCGCAACGATCCGCCAGCTTCCAAAGAAACGAGATCCAACGTTCGTGATAACTCCTCGAAAGTCAAGGAGTTGCCCGTTGAAAGTGCACCAGTGTTGACGAAGAGGGCTCGTCAAAGGCGCCGTCAATATCTCGCGCGTTAATTTGCCAAGGCTTTGGAGTCTGTTGACGGGATCTGTTATGATACGGATCTGAAACGCAGAAGGCGCAAAGTGTTCCAGCAACAAGCTTTGGGAACCTCCTCCCAACCACCTACTAATGAATGGGTTCGTGTCAAACGAACCCGTTCAACTCTTAAGGAGCGCATCCATAAACATCACGCACTGTTAGCGCAGACGAGGATTCTTGTACGGAAGGCACAGGAATTGCAGAAGGAAAAGGTGGCCAAAAAACCACCAAGATCTAAGCAAGTCTGGATGCCAAAGGCCAAATCAGCGCCTAAGGCAAAAGCAGACGACGATGCTCTCTGGTCTTCGTCAACTCCAGACCCTGCTCCCGCACTTCCGGTGAAGCTCTATGACAACGTGGGTCTCCCCAAAGCTAAAGTCCCATTGAAGGATCGCATCGGTTCTCTACCCGAGGATCGAGGAAAAGCGCCTGTTAAGGAAAGCTTGAGTTCGTTGAAGGAGCTTCGAGCCAACATCCGGACTGGGGGTCGTACGCGACCTCCTAACAAATTATTTTTTACAACAGCCCGCTTGGAGGTACGTGCAGAAAACCAGGAGCCCGTTAAGGTTTCACCCTCACAAGGGTGTGATTCCAAAAGTGTGACTCCTGTAGATGCCAACAAGGCAATCTTTACTCAGAGGAAAACGCTTCAGACAGACGAACGCGTTATACCTAAGAATTCATGTAAACAGCCGATAGGTATCTCTGACTACAACGTCGATGAGTTGTACTATCGAGCTGGGGGTACGAATAAATCTCGAAAGAGAAGTACCCGGGAAGCGGACTCTCACTGTCCGTGTACCAAAATTATCAGGGCAATATTATCAGCGTGTAGCTGCCCCAAGACCGCTCCGCAGAGGGTCTCGGTATTCGAGGGGATCTTCGATGGAACGACGAAACCCAAATCAAAGCGTTTCCACTAAAGAGGATCGGTTGCTCGAGATGATGAATTCCTAGAAGTTACCATCAACATGGTCAATAAGGGAAAATCTCCGATTGTTTCAAGTGGTTTCAACCCTAATTTCTCTCCAGGAAGAAGAGTCAGTTCGGGAATAACCCAACAAATATCTCAGCTTCAGCTAGAAACCGTTGGACATAATGATTACCAGGGTGTCCATGAAGGAATACATTCCGATGACGAACTCTCGGATTCTTATTCCGCAATCGCCTCTGACGATACAACGTCTAGCATAGGACAAGCTCGGGAAGTGTTCATGGTCAACACCGAGCAAATAGCCAAAATCATTGAGGATGCTCTAGCCAAGTAGAAAGAAGCCTTCAAAATCGAAATGGAAATGGCTATGCAGGAGATGAGACAAATGCACGACCAACAAATCCGAGCTTTGTCGAATCAGCTAGGTGAGTCTAGCCGTCGCAACACTGCTAACTAAGCAGGTAGCGATTCAGATGAACATGACGCTGGGGGTGGCCCCACTAAAAATAACGACGCTGGGGGTGGACCCACCAATGATGATAAACAATGGGGGTGGCCGTATTATTCCTCTCGAAAATTGTCCAAAACAGGATATAGATGAGGACGAAAAGATGAAGGATCTCGAGAGCAAAATTAATGCTTTAATGTCTGCTCAAGAAGTAAAGAAAACTGGCATTCCATGTCCTTACCCGAAAGAGTGGGATTCGACCCCGTATCCGGTGAAGTTCAACCTGATCAACTTCACGCCGTTCGACGGGAAGGGTTCCCCCACTCAGCACCTGATCTATTTCAAATCCCATTTGGGAGTGATCTATGGCAACGAGCCTCTGATGGTCCGATCATTTGTTGGCACCCTTCGCGGGCCCGCCTTCGATTGGTACCGCCGCCTCAAGCCCGGAAGCATCAACAGCTGGGAGGACCTGGAAAGCATGTTCCTCGCTCATTTCTTCGATGATGACGCAGAAGTGTCGATCAAAACACTCTTCGATGAGAAACAAAAAGACGGAGAGTCGGTGGATACCTTCATCAAACGCTTCCGCAATCAGGCAATGAACTACAAGGATCCCGTCACGGAGGAATTCGTCTTGCAAACCTGTCATAACAACTTGTCCATTAACATCTTGGACGTTATGAGAGTAGAGCCGCTCAATACCTGGAAAGAATTGAAGATGCAATGTCACAACAGCAATCCCGAAGGCAGCAAAAGACTTCGGGTCCGAGACTCCAAAGAGAGTATTCCTTCAAGGATGAAGATGTTCCAGCCATCTTCGAATCCCTCCTTGGAAGCAACAAGATCAAGCTACCACCTATCACAAATCAGGAGGAAGCTGACAATACTGCGGATCCGAAGTACTGCGCGTACCACAGGAGGATCCTTCATCCCACCAAGGCTTGCTTTACTTTAAAGAATAGCATCCAAACCTTGGTTGAAGCCGGCGTCATAATGCTAGGATAAGCCAAATAAGAACGGCAATACTCCGAAGAGTATAGGAGTATAAACTGCTTCTCAATACTCCGAAGAGTATACGAGTATAAACTGCTTCTCAATACCCCGAAGAGTATACAAGTATAAACTGGTTCTCAACACTTCGAAGAGTATACGAGTATAAACTGCTTCTCAATACTCCGAAGAGTATACGAGTATAAACTGCTCCCTGATACTCCAATAGGTATATGAGTCTAAACTGTTTCCTACCGTTGATGGGAAGTTCCTGGAGAATGTTACGCTAATATTCTTAAGGACTGATCAAATCAAACGACAGTGGACCCACCAACATTCCCATCTGCCAGTCATTGGCGTTTCTCAGACTCAACGTGCTAGGTCCTAAACGCCTAACATTAAAGTCTCCCTTTGAGTGGTAATATGGGTTGGCACTTTCTTTGCTACCCGTATTCCACTCTCTTTGCGTTCTGGTCAAACCTATAAAAGTTAGGGCCAAAGCCAAAATCCCCTCTCGATTCCTCCAATGAACGAGAGGTCCACCTTCAAATCGAGCGATCAAACCTTCCGACAGTTAGGTCGTCTCAAACTCCTGCTTGGTCAAACATTCATACAGTTAGGGCCACAGCCAAAATCTCCTCTCGATTCCCCCAATGAACGAGAGGTCCACTTCCAAATCGGGTAATCAAACCTTCCGACAGTTAGGGTTATCCGAATTGTTACGATTCTCGGAGTGGAGATCCCACTCTTAGTTTCATCCTTCCGGATTCTGGGGGTGGAGATCCCACCTCGAGTTTCCTTTCCAGCTGTAGATAGAATATAAAATTCTTCCTCTTCAGCACCGGGAGATAGAATATAAAATTCTTCCTCTCCTCGGACCTTTCCGATGCTCGGAGTGGAGAACCCACTCCCAGTTCATCATTCCGGATTCTGGGGGTGGGGGATCCCACCTCAAGTTCCCTTTCCAGCTGTAGATAGAATATAAAATTCTTCCTCTTCAGCACCGGGAGATAGAATATAAAATTCTTCCTCTCCCGTTTCTCAATCTGTCTTTGCTTTTAGAAAAGACACGATTGTCAAATCCGGGCACTCGATGCACGGGGAATTTTATCCCGAAGCCTGAGTAGGGATAAGTCAACGCCTAACACGCGTTGCCGGGTAGTCTATTCCCGTGAGAAAGACGAAGTCTATGTATTCAAAATCATAGCATTAAGTCTAAGAGAAGCAATTCTCTTAGCACAACGTTACATGTGAAACGGGTTTTAATAATTCACATGCTAGCCCGATTCAAACGGTAATCGGTAAAGGCACGTCAAACCCGTTGATGGCTGGGGGTTTGCCAAAAATCCCAAAGTCTATGTCTAACACGCATTGCCGGTTAGTCTTTGACCGTAAAAAGGACAAAAGACCACATATTCAATATTGTGGCAGGGTGTTATTAATAACATCATAATCCGTGCCTCACACGCATGGGGAATTTTATCCCGAAGCCTAAGCAGGGATAAGCCAACGCCTAACACGTGTTGCCGGTTTAGTCTTTTACCGATTGAAGAAGACACCAGAATCCGAGTCTGGGGACTTTTATCCTGAATCCTAAGTAAGGATAAGTCAGCGCCTAACATGCGTTGCCGGGTAGTCTATTCCCGTAACAATGGAGAAGTC